AAACCACAACAGGAGATGGGGCCTGATTATAGGTAGGGTCGGGTTCTAGGTAAATTTAGTGCTTTGGACTAGGCCAAGCCTGGGCAAGACAGCGCAGTTAAGGGAGGAGTTCAGAGGAGACTAATTCGGGGAAGGGGGGGCATGAACCTAGATTTGTTTTCCCAGAAGAGTTGGGCACCAGCCCTGAAAAGAAGATGCTCTCCGATTCCTAAAAGGGGGCAAGTCCGGGAAAGGGGAGGGGTTTGCACAGAGGACATTCCTTGGTCCCTGGTAGAAGTGGTCTTGTCTCCAGAGTGTGCAGCTTCTGGGGTGGACTATGACTCTGGAACCCACCTGGGGTCCTTGGACTGGGGCTTGGGGCCAGTGCTTAACTCGACTTGGCCCTTACACCTAGATCGAGAAGAAATTGGAACCGCTGTTGCAGGATGAAGACCAGCATGCAGACCTGACCCAGAGCCGCCGCCCCCTCACTGGCTGCACCATTTTCCTGGGATATACATCCAACCTCATCAGTTCAGGCATCCGTGAGACCATTCGCTACCTTGTGCAGCACAACATGGTGGGGACCTGGTGGGGCTGTGGCTGTGACCTCTGGGTCAAGGAGCAATACACTGATTGATCATTTAAGCAACATGGGGAGACGGGCCTGTTTTAAGCAGAGGGACAGAATCAAGTTTGCTTTGCAGCAGAGCTCCCCAATAAGAATCACTGGATGAGGCTGAGGTTATAAGTCCTGCCCAGGATGAAGACCAACCTTGCTGTCTTGTGGCTACAGGTGGATGTACTGGTGACCACAGCTGGAGGTGTGGAGGAAGATCTCATCAAGTGCCTGGCACCCACATACCTGGGCGAGTTCAGCCTCAGGGGGAAGGAGCTCCGGGAGAATGGGATCAACAGGTGGGAACCTGAGTGGTGGTGGGCAGGGGAACTAGGCCAAAGGTTCTCAGGCCTAAGGCTCACATGCTTCCTCTCCCCTCCCCAGGATCGGGAACCTGCTGGTGCCCAATGACAATTACTGCAAATTTGAGGACTGGCTGATGCCCATCCTGGACCAGATGGTGCTCGAGCAGAACACAGAAGTGAGACTGGAGTGACCTGCAGGGGCCAGCCTGTTGGAAGTCAGGGGAGACACATGTTGAAGCTACTGTTCCCTTCTAGGGTGTAAAGTGGACGCCTTCCAAGATGATCGCCCGGCTTGGCAAGGAGATCAACAACCCAGAGTCAGTGTACTACTGGGCCCAGAAGGTGAGAGATTGGATAGGGGCAAAGTTGCCAAGCTTTGGTGTGTGTTAAGCTATCTCAACTTCACAGCCATCTGGGAAGACACTATTATTCTTATCATCCCCACTCTTAGATGAGGAACCTCAACACAGATAGGCTTGGTAATTTGTCTGAAGTCACACAGATGGGGGTCTTGGTATGCTGATGCTCTTTCTAGACTATCAGGGATCAGTGGGGGTAACACTTAGCAACTACGCTGGGGCCTGGCTCAGGGTCCTGTGCTTCCTGAGGGTATGAAGTCTAACAGCCTGAAAAATAACAAGAGCCACCCAGTCCTTTGAACCAGAAAGTCAGAACCTGAAAAGAGCTGCCCACTCTACATGTTGGGCACTATCCTAAGCTTCACGTGTGGGTTTTCTCACACACACTTCCTCATCTGTGAGGTGTTCCTGTTATCCATTAGATTCAGGCCCAGAGAAATTAAGCACTCTGTCCACAACCAAACAGGGAAGAAGGACTGACCTGGGATGGGGACCAGGCTGTCCCCAGCCACTGTCCTACCCTGTCCTCTCCAGAACCACATCCCTGTGTTAAGCCCAGCACTGACAGATGGCTCGCTGGGTGACATGATCTTCTTCCACTCCTACAAGAACCCAGGCCTGGTCCTGGACATTGTTGAAGGTGAAGTACTGGGATCGCAGGGGAGTGGGGAGGAGGGCCAGCTGAGTCTGCGGCCTGACCATAGCTCTCTTCCCACAGACTTGAGGCTCATCAATACGCAGGCCATCTTTGCCAAGCGCACTGGGATGATCATCCTGGGTGGGGGCATGGTCAAGCACCACATCGCCAATGCCAACCTTATGGTGAGTGGGGGTGGCACACGGACCCACTGTGCAGACATGCTGTGAGCTTGGCCTGTGCCACGCACAGCCCTGCACCACGCACAGCCCTGCATGCAGCAACCGAGATATGTATATCAGGTGGCAGCAATTGCTGTGGAGGAAAAAACGGCTGGGTGACAGGAGAAATGGGTGCTAATAAGGGTACTTGAGGGTGGCTTCTGGGAAATGTGACCTATGAGCAGAGGTTTTTGGGCAATGCATTCTATGAGCCATGTTTTCTATGGACAGAGTTCCCATCAGAGGGAACAGCAATGAAAAGGCTCTGAGAGTTGGGCGTGGTGGCTCATGCCTGTTATTTCAACACTGGGAGACAGAGGTGGGAGGATTGCTTGAGCCCACTGGTTTGAGATCAGCCTGGGCAACATGGCGAGACCTCATCTCCACAGTAAACAAAAATTAGCTGGGCATGGTGGCATGTGCCTATAGTTCCAGCTGCTTGGAAGGCTGAGGTGGAAGGATCACCTGAGCCCAGCAGGTGGAGGCTGTGGTGGCAGTGAGTGTGCCACTGTACCCCAGTCTGGATGAAACAGCGAGACTCCGACTCAAAAAAAAAAAAAAAGAAAAGAAAATGCTCTGAGGTACTCAAAATAATCAAGGAACAGTTGGGAGCCTGGTGAGGGGGACAGTGGGAGTGAGGACAGCCAGGAAGTGACATAGCAGAGTGTGCTGCAGGTTGGGCTTTGGCTTTTGCTAAGGTGGGAATGGACCTGACTCAGGGGTTCCCAGGCACACCCTAGTGGCCATGGGGGTGGGGAGGCTGTGGTGAACAGATAGTGGCAGGTGAGAGTGAGAACTGGAGGTCCAGGAGAGTAGTGCCAGCCAGGACCAAGGTGGGACCTGTAGAGACGGGAGGTGGTTGGGCTTGGGGTCTTCGAGGTAGGACTGGTGGAGACTCCTGCTACACATATGAAGGTACAGAGAGGATCGTTGAGACCTAGCAGGTGGGTCTGGAGAAAGGTAGCCCATTGTCTGCCCAGCAACTCCTCTGACCCAGGCCCTGACACGGGCCCACCCTGGAGCAGAGGGCTGCCAAGGGCTTCCTTCATCCGGGACACATCCTTCAGCCTCTTTGGCTACTGCATCTTGCCTCCATGTCCCCGTCTGCTGTAACCTGCTGACCAGGCTGCCTGTCCCTCCCCACAGCGGAATGGGGCTGACTATGCTGTCTACATTAACACAGCCCAGGAGTTTGATGGCTCAGATTCAGGCGCCCGGCCAGACGAAGCGGTGTCTTGGGGCAAGATCCGGATGGATGCGCAGCCTGTCAAGGTCAGGGCCGGCTGGGTGGGGTGCAGGGTCTCCTGGACTGGGGCTGTGGTCTCATGGCTCACCCAGGCCCCCTCTGCAGGTTTATGCTGACGCCTCCCTGGTCTTCCCCCTGCTTGTGGCTGAAACTTTTGCCCAGAAGGTGGATGCCTTCACACCTGAGAAGAACGAGAACTGAGCAGCTGTGGCCCTGGGAGGCCTCACCCTTCCTATATTTATTACTTTGTAGAACCAGTCTTTCCCCCACTCCTTGGCCAACAGTGTCTCTAGAATAAACGGTCTCAGTGGTTCTTTTGAGTCTGCGCCTGGGTCCTCGGTCCTGGCAGTGGGTCCTCTGGCTTCAGCTTGCTCCACCCTCTGCCTCATAGGCCTCTTCTCTCCAGCAGTGGATGCTGCCCCCCATGGCGGTCAGCAGGCAGGGCTCTGTGGGGTGATAGGCCAGCGACTGTACCACTCCACGACCCACAGGCAGGGCCAGTGCCAGGGCACCCTGTGGAGGGAGGGGTAGGGAGTGGTCATCTCAGTTCAGCCTGAAGCCATCAGTCACTGTTGCCCAGACCTTCTGCCACCTACCTTTTATTGCCTCCCGGACACTGCAAACCTGATCTGAGTGAAACTGAACCCCCAGTAGCTCTGTCCTGTCAGGTGCTCAGTCCAAATGTTGTGGGTCTCTCTCTCACATCTCACATCCCTTAATCAGTAAATCCTCTTGGCTCTGCTTCTAGACCACGTCAAAGGCCACTGATTCTATGCCTTCTTGTCCACCATCCTGCTCCAAGCATGTCTTGCGCCCAGCTTCCTGGCTGGGCTCCATCCTGCCCACCTGGCAGCCACAATGATCCTCACTTCCCTTGACACCTCCCCATCAGAACAATGTATATAGTTCCACAGGCAAGCCATAGTTCCTCTTTTTTTAAAAAAATGAGACAGGGTCTCACCCTGTCACCCAGGCTGATCTTCCCACTTTAGCCTCCTGAGCATCTGGGACTTAGGTGTGTACCATGCCTGGCTAATTTTTTAATAACTTTTTTGTAGAGATGGGGTTTTGCTATGTTGTCCAGACTGGTTTTGAACTGCCTCAAGTGATCCTCCTGCCTTGGCCTCCCAAAGTGCTGGGATTGCAGGCATGAGCTACCATACCTGGCCATGGTTTCTCTTTCTGCCTTGAAAATGCCCCTTCAGCCGGGCTCGGTGGCTCAGCCTGTAATCCCAGTGCTTTGGGAGGCTGAGGTGAGTGGATTGCCTGAGCTCACAGGTTCGAGACCTGCCTGGGCAACTTGGCGAGACCTCATCTCTACAATAAGTCAAAAATTAGCTGGGCGTGGTAGCGCGTGCCTGTAGTTCCAGCTACTTGGAAGGCTGAGGCGGAAGGATCGCCGGAGCCCAGCAGGTCGAGGCTGTGGTGGCCAGGAGCGGCCACTGCACTCCAGTCTGGGTGACAGAGTGAGACTCCAACTCAAAAAAAAAAAAAAAAGAAAATACCCTTCGAGGGACACATAACATCAATAAGAGTACTAGGCAAAGTGGGGACCAGAGGGAAGCCCAAACTTTACCTATACGATGACCACTTGTATACCTAATCCTGAATTGTACCCCATACCTCTAAAAAGAAAAAAAATGTCCCTTCATGTGCCTTCCAGAGAAACTTCTGGTCTAGAGGGCCTGCAAGAAGTTAGCAGAACACTCTTGCTAGCTTATATAGTGAGAGCTTGTCTCTCAAGTTTCCAGGGCTTCCCAGTTTCCTCCATCCTCTTAGGGGGTTTAGTTTCCTCTGGCCAAGCTCTAGCACCAATGTCTCCTTCCCTGAGGCTCCCCATTTCCGACCCTACTAGGCCAGGACAGTCAGTTCCTGGTCTGATTCCCCTGCTAGGCGGGGACATGAGAACAGGGCTTGGGGCTTGAAACCATGCACAGGAATGCTCAGATGTAGCAAAGTTTTCCTGAACAACTACAGCTCCATCTCTCCTGGGTTGCACCTTACACCTTAGCCTAAAATGCCCTTCCTTTTGCCTAAAATGCCCTTCCTATCTCATCTTGTCACTGCAAGATCCTAGTTTGAATATCCAACATCACTGCTTTTTCTAGGCCAGGCTCACCTCTACTAGGTCCCAGAAGAACACCTTCCCATCCTCGGAGCAGCTGACCACGTGTGTGTCACGTTCACTCAGGCAGCAGTCCAGCTTGTACTCCTGGTTCTTATGGCCTGTGTACCTGGTGGTGGGTAGGATCAGGGGGTCTTGGTCCTCACAGGTGATAGGAAGGAGGGATGGGGGCTCCACGACCATAAAAACTCACTCGCCTAGCAGTTCGCCCGTGTCTTTGTCTAGAAGCCTCAGTGTGGAATCCAGGCTGGACACCAGGGTGCACTGCCCATCCCGGCTGAAGCAGGTGCAGGTGATGGGGCCTGGGTAGAGGGGAGGGCCAGGTGAGGCTGGGATGCCCCTAGCTGCCCAGCACCTTTCCTTGCCTGTCCCACAGCCCAATTATACTCACTGCCCACGTAGTCTGAGAAGAGTTGCCCCATCCTGAGGTCATAGCGCCTTATGCGGCCGTCCACGGAACTGCAGGAGAGGGTTGATTCAGGGGAAGCCTTGATGGAGGCCATAGTGGCTCCAGGCAGCTTCATGTCCCTGTGCCCTCCCACCCAGCTAGGCCTGTCTTCCAGTGCACTGGAGTGGAATTCGGAGGGATTGGCTTTGAGACTCAGGCCTAGGAACCTATCACGTCCCACCCTATCTTTTCAAGCCCTGGAGTTCTCTGGTTCCCCTTTTTCCTGCATTCCTCAGATCTTCTTCCACAGTTCTCAGAACCCACCACTTCCCTAACTAGCACGCCATCTAGACTGCCTTGGTCTCCCTGCAGCTGCACTTTTCTTTTTTTGAGTAGAGTCTCACTCTGTCGCCCAGGCTGGAGTACAGTGGCATGCTCACGGCCACCGCAGCCTCGACCTGCTGGGCTCAGGCGATCCTTCTCTTTCAGCCTTCCAAGTGAATTACAGGCATGCACCACCATGCCTGGCTAATTTTTTGATTTATTGTAGAGATGAGGTCTCACAAAGTTGCTTATACTGGTCTTGAACCTGGGGTTCAGGCAGTCCTCTCACCTTGGCCTCCCAAAATGCTGGGATTATAGGTGTGAGCTACCACGCTTGACCTGCATTTATTTCATTACTGGTCAGGTGCAGTGGCTCACACCTGTGATCCCAGTGGTTTGGGAAGCCAAGGCAGAAGGATCACTTGAGGACAGAAGTTCAAGATCAGTCTGGGCAACATAGTGAGATCCCACCTCTATTTAAAAAAAAAAATACAGTACCTGTAGTCCTACCTATTCAGGAGGCTGAGGTGGGAGGATCACTTGAGACCAGGAATTTGAGGCTACAGTAATCATGACTGTGCCACTATACTCCAGCCTGGGAGTTAGAGTGAGACCCTGTCTCTAAAAAAAGAACTATTTCTTTACTGATTGTCTGATGATCCCACTAGGGAGGAGTTCCCAAAGGGCAGGAACAGGCCGGCTTATTCTCAGCTGTGTCCCCAGCCCTAGTTCCAGGCTTGGCTGGGAGGCTTCAGCCTTTGGATGAATGACTGTGAAGGCTGGGTAAGGCTAAGCATGGCAGAACGGGGGCCATACCCGCGGAGCCAGGACCACATGGCTCTTGGCTGCCTGAGTATGGCCAGAGAGAGAAGGGACTACAGTGTCCCCCCGCCAATGGAGAATGGAAACAGTTCCTCAAAAGGCCACTTGGAGGATCTACTCAGATGTTTCAGCTAAATAAGTAGTGTCGGCTGGGTGCAGTGGCTCAGTCTGTAATCCCATTACTTCGGGAGGCCAAGGTGAAAGGACTGCCTGAGCCTGGGGGGTAGAGACCAGCCTGGGCAACTTGGTGAGATCCTGTCTCTACAATAAATCAAAATATTAGCCAGGCATGGTGGTACATACCTGTAGTTCTAGCTACTTGGAAGGCTGAGGTGGAAGGATCGCCTAAGTCCAGCAGGTCGAGGCTGGGGTAGTTGTGAGCATGCCACTGCACTCCAGCCTGGGTGACAGAGTGAGGCTCACACGCCAAAAAAAAATGTACTGTCTTCTGGGCCAAATCCTCTGTGGAGACCTGAGCCACAGCCATGACCAAGCCAGGTGCCATTGTCACCCAGGCTGGAGCCATTGTTGAGCCAACATTGACCAAGGGAGTTCTAGGAAGTCTTCCCTGAGGAGGTGACACCTGACCTGGGACTTGAAGGATGAGGAGACAACCACATGTGGTCCCAAAGGAGATATGTGGGGACAGAAGGGCTGGCCACACAGATCAGGCAGCCCAAATTCTCCCTAAGGTGGGAATGACGTTCCCTTGGGTTATGGTAACACTCAGCAGTACTGCATGGGATTAAAAAAAAAAAAATTGTCTCCCCCACCTATAATAACGATCTTATGCAGGCAGGAATTTTTTCCTGTTTCCCTATTTTGTTCACTACTATGTGCCAAGTGATAAAAGCATATGGCATTTGTAGGTGCTCAATTGTACTTTGAATAAATAGCAGAAGAGCAGTCCAGGCAGAAGAAAAGCAATTGCCAAAGTCCTGAGATGGAAACATGCTTGGTATTTTTTTTTAATTTGAATTGGAGTCTTACTGTTGCCCAGGCTGGAGTCCAGTGGCACGCTCATGACCACTGCAGCCTTGACCTGCTGGACTCAGGCGATCCTTCCGCCTCAGCCTTCTAAGTAGTTGGGAACTACAGGTGTGCGCTACCATGCCTGGCTTATTTTTTAATTTATTGTAGAGACAAAGTCTTGCCAAATTGCCCAGGCTGGTCTCGAACCCATGAGCTCAGGCATTCCCTTTGCCTTGGCCTCCCAAAGTGCTGGGATGACAGGCTTGAGCCACCATGCCCAGCCATGGTTGGTATGACTAAGCGAAATGAGACCCAGGAATTAATTAAAGCTGAGAGGTTAGCAGGGGCAGACCATGCAGGGCCTTGTGAGTACTGGTGAGGAGAATAAATCTTATTATTTTATTTTATAGAGATGAGGTCTTGCTACACTTCCCAGGCTGGAGTGCAATGGCACAATCATAGCTCACTGCAACCTCAAACTCCTAGCCTCAAGTGATCCTCCTGCCTCTCAGTCTCCCAAGTAGCTAGGACTACAGGTGCATGCCAGCAAGCCCAGCTGAGAGTAGATTTTAATTTGAGCACAGAGGTAGCTATGGTCCCCAGGGGGACCCAGAGAGGGGTTAAGGTCCTGGCTCCACTTACCCTGCCAGGACCTCATGGTCTGATACCTTCACGCTTGATACACCATCCCTGGCCTCATCCAATGTCTGCACTGGCTCAGGTCTTCTTGAGCGGCAGTCCCAGCAGCGGATGCTGGAATCGATAGAGCCTGTGAGGTCAGCATGAAAGTGAGGTCTGGTGTAGAGGGTGGGGGCAGAACCCTCAGCCCCCCTGCCCAGGACCTATTCTTACCGGACAGGATGACTGTGGCCTCTTCATTAAACTGCACGGTGTTCACCTTCTGAGAAACAGTTACTGCCACTCAGAGGAGGCTGGACTTTGGAGGAATGGGATAAAGGTAGGGTTCCCAGTGCAGGTTAAAGCAAGGGCTAGGGCAGGGGAGGTAAAAGGTTTTGGGGGAACTGCAAGCATAGGGCTTGATGACTGCCTGGCTTGACCTGGCGGAAGGGGGGAGGCGCGGGCGGCGGAGCGGGCTGGGAGTCGCCACCACCTGGAGAAGAATCTTTTTTTGTAATGGAGAGTGTCCTTGTCACAACTTATGCACTAATACAGCTCCCCCCGCCCCCTACTCAAACGAAGATCTCTGGGCTTGCACTCACCCCCGCGTGGCCCCGGAATTTGCGCACGACCTGTCCCGATGCCACATCCCACAGCACCACCGCCTTGTCCCCGCCGCCAGAGCAGAGACTACTGTTGTCAAAGGAGCTGGAAGGCAGGAGAGGGAGGGTCAGCGTCGACCTCCGATCCCAGCTGCGGCGCTCCCATCCCGGCCTGGTTCCCGGCTCACCCGGCCGCGTCCAACACCTCGTAGCCGTGGCCGCTGTACGTCCGCAGCAGTGTCCCCCGAAGCGGGTTCCACAGCTTCAGAGTCTTGTCGCTGCCGCACGTCAGGCAGTAATTGCCATCCACTGGGGGACACCAGACGGGGGTTACTGGGCCGCAGACCTCAGGAGGCGGGAGAAGGACCCTGAATGAAGAAGAGGGCTCCTACCATTAAATCGCACGGCTCGCACTGCCCCTTGCGCGCAGTCCAGAGTCTTCAACCGCTTCTGCGGCAGCTCCGGTGCCCGCGGCTTTGGCTCAGGGAAAGCCATAGTCCCAGGATCCTTCCTCGCCGCCTTATGTCGGACTGTACGGAAGCTTCTGAGCTTCAAAATCCACGCTTGGGTGTAACCTTATTATTGTCTTCCATGATCGACTTCCTGCTTCTCATTTCCGGGTTCAACATTTAAGCAATTTGGTGAGTGCTGGGAATATTGAAGCCGTTTTCAGGCATCCCCCCCACTTTCAGTTTTCAAGGTACATTTTGGCCTCTTCTAACTCTTCATCCTCTGGCTGGGGAGAGTCCTGGCCTCCGCTGTGAGGAACCGAAGCTTAGGGCTGCGAGTGTTACTCTAAAAGCCACTCTCCGCTTCCACGCCGGAAGCTCCACCTCCCGCAGCGGAAGAGGCGTGACCTGGCCCTCGCCTCGCTATGTCAACGAACAATATGTCGGATCCACGGAGGCCGAACAAAGTGCTGAGGTGAGGACCCAGGGTCATAGTAATGGGGCCCGGGTTGTGGGTGTGGGTCGGCGCCCAGGGGCGGGACTTGAGCGCTCCTGGCTCTCGAGCCTGTCTCAGGTACAAGCCCCCGCCCAGCGAGTGTAACCCGGCCCTGGACGACCCGACGCCGGACTACATGAACCTGCTGGGCATGATCTTCAGCATGTGCGGCCTCATGCTTAAGGTGGGCGGGACTGGGTTTTCTTGGCTGTAGCTTGGCCTGAGGAGGCCCAGGGGCGGGTTTGGAATGTAGCGGGGCGTCAGGCTCGCGTGGAGGGGGCGGGGTCGGGGAGGGTCATGGCAAGTTGTTCTGCGGGTGGGACCAGGCTTTGAAGCAACTTGGAGGGGAGTGCTAAGGCAGGGTCCTTAGCATGTGGGGAGTCACAGGCCAGTCTTCTTGGGCTTGAGAAGACATGGGGTCAGAGACGCAGGCCAGGGAGCAAGACCAGAAATCAGGTATCGAGTATACTATGTGGAAGTGGAACTGAGGGATTCCTAGGGGGCATGGCTCTAGCTGCACCACGTGGAATCAGTGGGCAGGAATTGGTGCCTAGGAATGGGGCTTTGTGGGGGAACATTGGTGTGGCTCTCACCAGCCTGACCTGCCCACTCCACCTGCCTTTCCCCAGCTGAAGTGGTGTGCTTGGGTGGCCGTCTACTGCTCCTTCATCAGCTTTGCCAACTCCCGGAGCTCAGAGGACACTAAGCAAATGATGAGTAGCTTCATGTGAGGCTTGTCCTAGAGAAGGAGGGGCTCCTGAGGAAGTGGGGTAGGGATCCAAGCCTACCCATCCTGGACTGACACCTGTCTCCTGTCTCAGGCTCTCCATCTCTGCGGTGGTGATGTCTTATCTGCAGAATCCTCAGCCCATGACGCCCCCCTGGTGATGTCAGCCTAGAGGGGTCACATCCTGCACCCCCTCCATCCGCCTTCCTCCAAGGCTTGGCCTTTGGCTGGTCAGCTTCTTGCCCTCAGTGGCTGTCCTGGATTTCCCTGAATGAGGTGGTCTCAGGAGGCCCAGTTGTGGGTAGAGCCTGGCCCTTTCCCTGGGGGGAGGTGTCCCCCACTTTTGCTGGGGGCCTAGAGGGACATACCCTAGGCCTACCCCTCTGCCTCCCCTACCCTGCCTGCCACTGGGGGAGATGCTTTCCTTGTTTCTAGGTGTATTCATTTGTCTTGTTGTTGTTGAAACCTGTTAAATAAAAAAGTTTTTCACTTGGGCCGTCAGCCTCTCTCTTTTGTTCATTGGGAGGTCTCTTCCTAGTGGGTGGAAGGGCTCCAGCTCCTCAGGCCTGGGCTGGGGGCCCCAGTCTGGAGCCTTCTGGTGGTTCATGTGCTTATTTCACAAGCCTAGTGCCTTAAGTCAGGTGCCAGAGAGAGCATAGTGATCTCTGCCCTCTCAGCAGATAGCCCTGCTGATGTAAGGAATTCGGGCTTTAGTTTTCTTTCTTTCGTTCTTTCTTTCTTTCTTTCTTTATTTTTGAGTTGGCGTCTCCAAGGCTGGAGTGCAGTGGCATGCTCACGGCCACTCCAGCATCGGCCTGCTGGGCTCTGACGATCCTTCAGCCTAAGCCTTACAAGTAGCTGAAACTACAGGCGTGCACTACCACGCCTGGCTCTATTTTTTTTTTTTTTTTTAATTGTAGAGACGAGGTCTCGCCAATTTGCCCGGACTGGTCTTGAACCTGCAGACTCAGGCCATCCACTCACCTCGGCCTCCCAAAGTGCTGGGATTACAGGCTGAGCCACCGAGCCCAGCCTTAGTTTTCTCATTAGATAAATGGAGGAATGTCTGCCAACTGGATGAACTGGGTGGGAGGGAAAGGCAAGAAAGACTCAGGGTCCTTCCCCACTTCAGGCCCTCTTGCCTCTCCCGACGACCTGATAATCATCTCAACCAGGCTGGATGCCTCCCATCCCCAGTACTCCTAGGGTAGCTCGTCTACCCAACATCCCAATTCCAACAGAATGGCCAGGACGGGTTGCTCATCAAACCTTGCTCCTAGCCAAGCTAGATACTCCCAGGTCCCCAGCCCTGAAGGTCGTTGGGACACTCTAGGATTCTATGCACACACTCTACCCCCTACGAAAACCAGGTAACCGCAGGGAAAAAAAAAACACCTCTGCTCCAAGGGGGACAAAGACGCACTCCAGAGCTGGTGAGACGCCAAAGACGCCTCTGGCCAAACCAGTGCCCGGTGGGTGGGCCACGCCCAGCGCTTTCGCAGGGGACTCGGGATACGCCGCGATGACAGCCTCAGTCCGGAGACCGCCTGGTCGCGCCCTAGCCCCGCCCCCGCTGGCGCCGATTGGCCAGACCGGGCCTGGAGGCGGAACCTTTGCCTGGCCTACCAGAGCCCGGTAACCCCCAGGAAGCCGAGTCGAGCCATGGGCGCCGACGCGCGGCTTTCGGGGGTCCGCGCTGGCGGCTACCTGGGCGCGGCGAGGCCCGGTTCGAGCTCTCGTACCCTGCGGCCGCCGCTCCCGCCTCCCTCCTTTTTCATTTTGTTGTTGCTGACGGCCCCGGGCGCTCGGGCCGCAGGATACGAGGTGAGCCGGGCCTGTGGGCGGAAACGTGCACGAGTCGGAGCGACTCCCCGAGTGCCGTCCGGAGGTGTGGGTGGGTCTGTTCCGTGGCTGCCTAGCGAACGGTTGCTGATATGGCAGTGTGGTCTGAGTGTGTGCTTCTGTCATTGCGAGGTCTGGCTGCGCCCATCTGAGAACAGGGCTGTGTCCGATTGTGCTGCCTCCGCGTCTCTGGGTCACTTGCCTGAAGTGCATGAACTGTGACTGGAGGGGCGAGGGTGAGCCTTGGTGTGTGTGTGCGGGAGATGCTGGTTGAGAGCTGGACTTTGGAGTTAGCCTGCCTGGAGTTCTAGCCTAGCTCCTCCACTTCTGGCTGTGTGATCTTGGGCAAGTCACCTGCTCTCTCTGAGCCTCAGTGCCCTCATCTGAGAATTGGATAATGTTGCCCTATTTCCCAGGGTCGCTGTCTGTCACTCATAAGTGCTTAACGAACATCAGCTACTACTATTATTTTCCCAGGGTGTGAATGAGAGGTACCTTGTGGGGTTGTGTGAAGCGTCAGTTGTATCTGTGAGCACAACTGCGTGTGTGTCCTACCTGGGAGGGCCTAGCCTCCTCTCCACATAAGGGAAGTCAGGCCTCTCTGAGTCACTCACCTCTAGATCAAGACTCAGTTTGTACCTTCCCCCACCTTTTGGGTTACTGACAGGGGGTTGTGTGTCTGTTTGGGGTCCCTGTGCAGACATGCCCTGCAGTGCAGCCAGACATGCTTAATGTGCACCTGGTGGCCCACACGCATGATGACGTGGGCTGGCTCAAGACAGTGGACCAGTACTTTTATGGCAGTGAGTAAAGGCTGGGCCCCAGGGCCCCCTATGGCCCCTCTAATCCCTTCTGGGCCTCAGACACTAGGGTGGGGCAGTGCCTAGGTCGGGCTCCCGTATCTAGGAATATCCCCCTTGGCTCTGCTGTCCTCTGATGGTCTGACCCGTGTCCACAGTCATGAATGATGTCCAGCATGCTGGTGTGCAGTACATCCTGGATTCGGTCATCTCTTCCTTGCTGGAAGATCCCACCCGCCGCTTTGTCTACGTAGAGATGGCCTTCTTCTCCCGATGGTGGCACCAGCAGAAAAACGCAACACAGAAAGCCGTGCGGGAACTGGTGCGCCAGGGTGAGCCTGCCCGAAGGAAGTGAAAAGAGGAAACCCGGCCCGGTTTCCGTTGCTGCAGCTGTTTCTGATTTTATCATGTCATGTGCAGGCTGTAATGCATGTCGCTCCTCCGGCCAGGACTCTCCCTTTATCTGGAGAACCCCTGTGCATCCTCTGGGAAGCGGGCCGTGCCGGGGCCCTCTTTCCTGTGTCCGGCTACGCTGGCTTAAGTACACAGGCAGTTCTTCTCATCCTCAGTGTCCCTCATCCTGGCACAGGGCGCCTGGAGTTTGCCAATGGTGGCTGGGTGATGGACGACGAGGCGACCACCCATTATGGTGCCATCGTAGACCAGATGACCCTTGGGCTGCGCTTCCTGGAGGACACATTTGGCAGCGACGGACGTCCCCGTGTGGCCTGGCACATCGACCCCTTTGGCCACTCTCGGGAACAGGCCTCCCTGTTTGCCCAGGTGCTACCCCAACCTCTCTTGCTCGTCTCCCTTCGCTCGTTCTGACTCCTCTCTTGGCCGCCCAGGCCCTGCCCGTTCTCTGTAACCTCACAAGGACCAGGCAGTCGCCTGCTGAGGCCCTGCCCCTGGGGTGAGCTTTGAATCCTGTGAGTCACATGCCTCTTGCGTTCTGGCCTGATTCCGTCCCTTCTGGCTGGCTCCGCCCACTCCTCTGATGTCCCTCTTCTATTCTGGCCCCGCTTTTACCCTGCTTTAAAGCTGAGCTTTGTGCTCTGGCCCCATCCATCCTCGGATGGCATAAAGGGAACCTCACTCCTGGAGTGAAGCCTCCCTTGGACTTTGTGCTGGGGAGGTGGAGGGGGAAGGAAGTGGAGGTGGCTTTGGATCTGCCCCTCCCTTGCGTTTGGACCTTTCTCCAAGCCTGGAAATAAACGGGAAGTGGCCCTCGATTCAGTCCCGCTTTTCCCTGGTGCTCTGCCCCGCCCCTGGTGGAGGAGGGCTTGGTGGTGAGCAGGCTGGGCACTGATTCACCCAGCTCTCTTCCGCCCCATCCCCAGATGGGCTTTGATGGCTTGTTCCTTGGGCGCATTGATTATCAAGACCAACTGGTGCGGAAGCAGGAGCTTCAGATGGAGCAGGTGTGGCGGGCCAGTGCCAGCCTGAAGCCTCCCACTGCCGACCTCTTCACTGGTAAGGGGGCCCAGAGGGGGCAGGGCTGGCCCATGGAGCCCATGCCCAGAGGGTCTAGGGATTGATTTAATGCTTTGTTGTCACTGTCTGGGACTTCCTAATAATCTGTGCACAGGTGCCCTGCATTTTCACTTTGCACTGGGCCCCACAGATTCTGAAGCCCATCCTAGGTGGAGCATGGCAGGTTTCAACCCCAGAGCAAGTCTGGGGCACTGGGCCACCCTTGAGACTGGTGTTGCCTGCAGGTGTGCTCCCCAATGTCTACAACCCACCAAACAGTCTGTGCTGGGACATGCTGTGTGCTGACAAGCCTGTGGTGGAGGACCCCGACAGCCCCGAGTACAATGCCAAGGAGCTGGTCGATTACTTCCTGCAGGTGGCCACTGCCCAGGTAACCATGCTGTCCAGAACCTCTGGGTCCGGTATATACAAGGCACTGAGCCCTTTCTATGGTTCAAGCATTCCCTAATATGTTCTCTTTCAACACTTTTTCTCTTTTTTGAGTTGGAGTCTCACTCTGTCACCCAGGCTGGAGTGCAGTGGCACGCTCATGGCCACCACGGCCTCGACCTGCTGAGCTCAGGCGATCCTTCTGCCTCAGCCTTCTAAATAGCTGGAACTACAGGCATGCACCACCACGCCTGGCTAATTTTTTGATTTATTGTAGAGGTGGGGTTTTGCCAAGCTGCCCAGGCTGGTCTTGAACCCCTGGACTCAGGCAATCCTCTCGCCTCCACCTCCCAAAATGGTGGGATGACAGGTGTGAGCCACTGTGCCTGGCTGAGATTCTCTCTTAAAAGAAAGGAGACAGCATGGCATTGTGCCTCGATGCCTTCGTCTGTATAGTGGGCCCAAGAGAGCTGCTGAAGAACCAGTGGCTATTTTTATCTGTGTCCCTATGCTCCCCTGTGCCACACTCCCATATCTCCACCGAGGCCGGTGACACTGGGGATGAGAAGACCTGCCTGTGTACTCAGGCCAGTGTAGCCAGATATGGGAAAGGTGGCCCCCTGCATGGCCAGCTTCCCAGAAGCCAGTGCTCACACATATACACCAAGACACAGCTATCCATACACAGGGGTGGCCTAGGACCCTTTGGCCTGAGGATGCCCCTCTGGCCTGCAGGGCCGACACTACCGCACCAACCACACTGTGATGACCATGGGCTCAGACTTTCAATATGAAAACGCCAACATGTGGTTCAAGAACCTTGACAAGCTCATCCGGCTGGTCAACGCCCAGGTCAGTGCACCCGCCCTGTGGTCCCCCATGTGCATGTGTGTGTTTGTTTCCCTCGGCCTTGGCTCATGTGCATGGCTCTGAATGCTGTGTTTGTTTTCTGTTGCTACTATAACAAATTACCACAAACTTAACAGCTCAGAACAATAGAGATACATCGTCTTACAGTTCTGTAGGTCAGAAGTCTCGCATGGGTCTCACTGGGCTAGAATCAAAGTACTGGCAGGGCTGTGTTCTTTCTGGTAGCTCTGGGGGAGAATATATTTCCTCGCTTTTTCTAGCTTCTAGAGGCTACCTGCATTTCTTGGCTTGTGGCCCCTTTTTGACCCTGCTTTCATGATCACATTCCCTTCTCTCATTCTCATCTCATCTGCCTCCCTCTTCCACTTTTAATTAATTATTATTATTATTTTAGTCAGAATCTCACTCTGTTGCCCAGGCTAGAGTGCAGTGGCATGATCACAGCTCACTACATCCTCAACCTCCTGGTCGCGGGTGGTCCTTCTTCCTCAGCTTCCCAAGTGGCTGGGACTACAGGTGCATGCCACCACACCCAGCATATTTTTTTTGTGGAGGCAAGGTCTTACTATGTTGTCCAGGCTGGTTTTGAACCCCATGGTTCAGGCAATCTTCTTGCCTCCACCTCCCAAAGTGCTAGGATTACAGACATGAGACACCACTCCTGGTCTCTTCCACAGCAATAAGGAAGCTGTCTTTCAAAACCAAACATTACCAGCCTTCATTGAAAGGATTTCAGGGATGCAAGAAGAAACTTGAGGCTGGGTGCAGTGGCTCACATCTATAATCCCAGCACTTTGAAGGTCAAGGTGAGAGAATTGCCTGAACCCACAGGTTTGAGAAAACCTGGGGCAACTTGGCAAGACCCCATCTCTATAGTAAATTTAAAAATTAGTGCATGCCTATAGTTCCAGCTACTTGGAAGGCTGAGGTGGAAGGGATTGCCTAAGCCCAGCAGGTCAAGGCTGCAGAGGTTGTGAGTGTGCCACCACACTTCAGTCTGGATGACAGAGTGAGACTACCACTAAGACAAAACAAAACAAAAAACCAAAAAAGCCCCATGTGATTACATCAGGTCTGCTGGATAATCCAGGTTAATCTCCCTATTTGAAGATTAGCTGATGAGTAACCTTAATTCCATCTGCCACCTTAATTCTGCTTTGCCATATAACTTTTTTTTTTTTTTTTTTTTTGAGTTGGAGTCTCACTCTGTCACCCAGGCTGGAGTGCAGTGGCACGCTCAGTCATTGCAGCCTCGACCTGCTGGGCTGAGGCAATCCTTCTGTCTCAGCCTTCCAAGTAGCTGGAACTACAGGTTTGTACCACCATCCTTTCGCCACCGCTTCCCAAAGTGCTGGGATTACAGGCATGAGCCTCTACACTCGGCTAACTTTTTAAAAACTTAGCCTCACTCTGTTACCCAGGCTGGAGTCCAGTGGCACGCCTTTGGCCACCACAGCCTCACCTCACTGGACTCAGGCTATCCTCCCACCTCAGCTTTCCAAGTAGCTGTAACTACAGGCACTCACCTCCACACCCAGCTAATTCTTTGATTTATTGGAGAGACGTGGTCTCTCTATATTGCCCAGGCTAGTCTCGAACCCCTGGGCTCAGGCAATCCTCTCATCTCTGCCTCCCAAAGGGCTGGGATTATAGGCATGAGCCACCTCGCCCAGCCATGCCATATAACATACCATAGTCATAGGTTCTGGGGATTAGGGCATGGGTATATTTGGGTGGACATTATTCTACTACCATAGATGTGTGTGTGTCCCTGTGAGCAGCCTGGGGCTGTGGCTGTGTGCATAGGCAGTCACTCTTTCCCATCAGCACAGTGATTTGTCTCCCCTCCTCCACCTCAGATGCTCCAGCTCATTAGTCCTGTCCTAACTACCTGCCTAACCACCTTCCACTCGCTCCCTGCACTGCTGTTTCACCAAAACAGCCCTCAGTAACCATCACCAAGGGCCTTCCAGAAAACATCTCAGTCCTCCCTGTGCCCCTGGTCCCTGAGAAGACTTCAACACTTTGAACCTTTTCTTCTGCAAATACCATGTCCCTGGGCCACCAAGATGTCACACCCCCTTGCTGTTTCTCTTGCTACTGACTGCTCCATTGTCAGCTCCATTTTACAAACTCTGGAAATGGAGTTCAAATCCTGGCTCTGCCACTTACTGGCTCTGTGACTTTGAGAAGTAATCTTAAGCGCTCAGTGCCTTAGTCTTCACATCTATAAGATGGGCATAATGGTGGGTCTCATCTCATAGGGTTGTTAATAGATTTTAATGAGGCTGGGCTTTGGGAGGCTGAGGTGAGTGGATTGCCTGAGCCCGCGGGTTCGAGACCCGCCTGGGCAACTTGGTGAGACCTCATCTCTACAGTAAATTAAAAAATTAGCCGGGCGTGGTAGCGTGCGCTGGTAGTTCCAGCTACTCGGAAGGCTGAGGCGGAAGGATCGCTGGAGCCCAGCAGGTGAGGCTGCAGTGGCCACTGCACTCCAGTCTGGGCGACAGAGTGAGACTCCAACTCCAAAAAAAAAAAGAGTTTAATGAGTTCATTTGCATAGATCAGTAGAACAGTGCTTGGTACATAATACATGTTAGTGTTTATTTATTTCTGGCTGAAAACCTCCTGCTCCTCTTTTAAGACACCATCTGAAATGTCTTCTCCTCCAGGAAGCCTTCAGCAAACGCCTTTAGACCCTCTTGATCTTTCCTCTGTGCTCCCACCAGCTCCCACCAATACCTGTGTTGCCACATCCAGGTCAGTGACCTCCTTTTCCTCACGGAGGTCACCTTTTTGTTTTCCACCTCAGTTGAAAGTCACCCTCCATTTATTATAAAAATTGTGTCTTTTGGTAACAATCTGATGGTGCTCCAAAATGATTATTCCTGCCCTATCACACCTGGTTTTCCCATGAAGGTTTTTAATAATAAAATTGGAATTATTTTTAAAGTTTAGTAAAATTTCAAGTTTCTTTTTCTTTTGAGTCTCACTCTGTCCCCCAGGCTAGAGTGCAGTGGCATGCTCACAGCCACCGCAGCCTCAATCTGTTGAGCTCAGGCAATCCTTCTGCCTCAGCCTTCAAGTAGCTGGAACTACAGGCATGCACCACCATGTCTGGCTAATTTTTGATTTATTGTAGAGACGAGTTCTCACCAAGTTGCCCAGGCTGGTCTCGAACTTGTAGGCTCAGGCAATCCTCTCACCTCAGCCTTCCAAAGTGCGGGGATTATAGGTGTGAGCTACTGCACCTGGCCTCAAGTTTCTTCTTGCATCCCTGAAATCCTTTTAAGGAAGGCTGGTAATGTTTGGTTTCAAGAGACAGCTTCCTTATTGCTGTTCTGTCTGTTGCTATTTTGCAGCATATTTAATAAACCTGTTGGCCACTGTTTTGCTAAACTCTGGTGTGTCCATGTGGCTCTTTGAGCTACCACAGCCATGTTTCTTAGCTTTGATCCCCTTCCCTACCTTGGGGAGGTGACTCACTCTCTCTCTCTCTCTCTCTCTCTGCTCTTTTACTTTCTAAATAAACTATATTTCCCAATCAAAAAAAATAAAAATAAAAAACTTGTTTTTCTACTCTTAAAAAAATGTTTGCTTTCGGTCAAAATTCATTTATGAAAACTGGTTTGCACTCCAAATGTGTAACTCATGTTCAGATTCTTCTGAACCTACTGAGTGCAAGAAATGTGCGCACATGCGCAGGAGAGAGTATGTGTGCACTGGTGGGCCCTGGGAAAACGCGGACTCTGGAGGGCTCACACACGCGTCTCCCCCAGCAGCAGGCAAACGGGAGCCGCGTCCATGTTCTCTACTCCACCCCTGCCTGTTACCTCTGGGAGCTGAACAAGGCCAACCTCACCTGGTATTTGGGGAGATTGGGGAGCCTGGGAGGGGGAGAGGTTGGCATGCCCTGCAGGTGGAGACCCTGCCCTCAATGCCCCTTCCGCTGCAGGTCAGTGAAATCCGACGACTTCTTTCCTTACGCGGACGGCCCCCATCAGTTCTGGACCGGCTATTTTTCCAGCCGGCCAGCCCTCAAACGCTACGAGCGCCTCAGCTACAAGTTCCTGCAGGTGGGTGGGCGCCAGGCTCCAGGGGGCAGCCGGGGAGGCCTGGCAGGCCCGGTGCCCCAACGTACCCGCCCCTCAGGTATGCAACCAGTTGGAGGCGCTGGTGGGACCGGCGGCCAACGTGGGACCCTACGGCACAGGAGACAGTGCACCCCTCAGTAGGTGTCGGGCGACGAGGGGACGGGCTGAGGCTGGAAACCGTCCTCCTGCAGTCCCTTCTTAAAACCCCCTAAGAGCCCTGCCTGCCCCCACCGAACCTTTCGCGTCTCCTTGGGATCGGGCTGAGAGTCCTGCGGAACCCCGCCCCACTCGCCGTCTGCCCGCAGAGGAGGC